CAACAAGTTTAGGGGATTTGTACACAAAAAAAAAAAAGAAGTTTTGATATAAAAAATTTGGGGGGTTGGAAAGGGGGGTTTGAAAGAAGGGCCCCCCACCCACCCCCTTCCACTGAATAGCTTGGTTTTATTTTTCAGGTTATTCTATTTGACAGCCTGGTTGAGATAGGCTAAAATAGAGAAAGGACTTGATATAGATCATACCGGGTCCTGCGCCCCCCCCCCCACTTTTGGGAGACAGAAAGAGGTAATAAAATTGAAAAGGATAATTTTCCAGGCAGGTGGGTCTAGGATCGCAGCTCAAGGAGCAAAGATTTCCTAGTTTTTGAATGTGGACTGGTGTCACTAAAGACATTTCTTTCCTCTACAGAAATTGTGGTTCTTCTCTTTGGAATGAGAGAGAGAGAGAGAGAGAGAGAGAGGAGCAGGAATCTCCAAATATTTTCGATTCTTCCCATCCTACTAATCCCTTCGTAGCCGTGAAATAATAGCCTTGGATCCGGGGTATATCAGCAGGATCGGGAGCCCGCACACGCGGAATTCGTCCTAACCATCCATTGTCTTGGCGCGCGTAAAAAGGGCGACCTAATCGCTCTTTGGTACAAGCCGGGAAAGGGGAGGATAGTTAGTTATCATGAAGCGGCTGTCTCCTTTAAAACTTCCCCCCACAAAGAGATCCTGAATCTCGGGGTGGGAGCGAGCGGAACCGAAAAGGCAAAGGGTTCTCCCTGGGAACGATCCCGAGGATTCCCGCTAGGCTTTCCAAGGCTCCCACATCACTGCGCCCATAGCTGCCCTTTGCTTCCTTTACGACCCAAGAACCACCAGGACTAGATTTGGGGCGCCACGCAGGTGCCCAGAGCCAGGCTGGAACAAGCAGGTGTCCCCGCGAAATGCGCTTGGCAGGCGCAGAGCGGCGCAGAGCGCACCTGCGCGGGATCTGCACACAGCCCGGGGTTCCCGCTAATTTCTGGGCAAGGAGGCGACAGGCGTGGAAAGGGGACGGTGGACGGTGGACGGTGGACGGGGTCGGCGCCTACCTGGGTCATGAGACGGTCGGCGCCGGTGTTCTCCTCGTCTTTGAAGATGATGTCCGGGTTGTAGTTGGGCGTGAGCTCCTTGAAGCGCTCCGAGTTGCGGGCGATCTTGCCCTCGTCCCTGCCGCTAGCGCCCAGCGTCTTCTCGGGCACGTTGGGGCTGAACTGCTTGTAGGCGAGGGGGATGAGCTTCCTGGGCGGGCGGCGGCGGCTGCCCACTACGCGACCCGGCCCGCAGCCGCGCACCTCCGGCGCCAACAGGAGCAGCGCGCAGCCGCTGAGGAGGAGCAGCAGCCGCGCCGCCTTCATGGCTCTGACGACCCACAGGAGCTCAGCGGGAC